ACGGCTTCCCCCAAGGAGAGCACTGCATCTGGGTTGGATTCCCGTGCCCATAATCACCCGGGTAGCCGCCCGGTGGATTCGGGTATCCCCCTGGAACATGAGGCGCCTCGTACGGGCCCTCCCCTTCTCCTGGGCCCCTGCTGTCCATCCGCCGGTTCGGCTGAGCGGTAGGACTCGGTCGATGCCCGGTTCGACCCACCTCGGGTCGACCCATCCCGGTCTGACCTGGTCCGGTTCGGCTCAACTCGGTCCGATCAGCATTGGTCCGCCCGATCCCGGTTCGCTCAGGTTCGGTCCGACCCGCCCCTGGTCCATCCACCTGTCCCGGCCCACTAGGAGCCGACCCGCCTGGCCCCATCTGGTCGGCGGCCCTGCTCGGCCCACCAGGCCCCCTCCGGTTCATCTCCTGTTCAGCCCACCGGGCCTGCTGACCCACCAGGCTCAGTTTGTCATACTCGGGCCCATATTCCAGATCGAGCCATCCCAGCCCGTTATGGATCCTCGTGTAGTGACCCAACTGTCCCGGCCCACCATTCATAGGAGGCCCATCTGTGTCATACCCAGCCATCTTAGCCTTTCCCTTTCGGGCCGCAATTTCTTGGGTCGTGGGTGTCGGTAACAGGCCCGAGCCCAGCCCTATTGCAGTCCGATCAGCCCGGCCCCGCCCGGTGTCCGCCACCCTGCTCCCCTCGGCCACCTCACTCGGAGCGACCGCCTGAGCCGCCGCCGCCCTCGTCGGACCCGCCCCGCCGCCGGGCCCGCTGCCAGCCCCGGCCGCCGCGGTCGTCGTCCCCGCCGGCGCCTCCAACGCCGCTGCCGCGGTGCCCCCACCTCCAGCCGCCTCTTCCGTCGCACCAGGGCCGCCGCCTCCTTCGTTCGTCAGCTCAGCCGGGGTCGGCGCTCTCCCTGGTCCGTTTCCCTTTGCCTGCAACGAGGTAATTGCCCTCAGCATGTCCTCCAGCCTCTGACGCAGATCGTTAGCATCTTCCTTCGCATCAGCCTGCACTCTCGCCAGGCCTTCTTCGAGCCGAGCCAGCGCATCAGAGTGCTCGTGCACTACCACCTTCACCGCCTCCAGCTCGGTGAGGTCCTCCATCACCACCCCGTCAAGGCCAGCACCGCCCGTCTCGTTGCTCCTCTCGGCTGCCTGCGCTGCCTTCTCCGCCGCCTTCATCGATTTCGTCGACACCATCGTTGCTTTCCCTGGTTCAAGAGTTCAAAGGAACTCACTCTCGAGCCAGGCTCTGATACCAGATGTTAGAAACAAGGTTTCTAACAGGAAGGGAATTGGGGAATTTAGCTAGATCAATTAGGGGTTGATCTAACTAGGGATTAGAATTGGGGATTTTAGAACAAGGAGAGGGAAAAAAGGGGGTTGCTGCCGCAGCTTTGGAGAAGAGAGGGAGAGGGAGGGCTCGCAGGAGAGAGAGAAGAGAGAGGATTAGGATTTAGGTTTTTGGTTCTGTAATTGCTTAATCCACAACATAAGACCACTATTACATATTATATAACCTGTCTAATTCCTATCTGCTACCCAAATAATAAAACGTAACAATTGACTCCCTGTTTATTCCCCCAAATACCCAAATAATCCCCCAATCATTAAAAACCGACACTAATACGAAATAACCAAAAACTGCAATTAATTGTGTTTCCCACAAATTTCACCATGAAGAGGATATGTAATTTCCAGGTTCGATCTCAGCCAATAGGAATATATGGTTCCCCTTCCGTAACTCACTCTCTTCTCATCCAATTATAGTATTCTGACTTCATAGTATAACTCTCAGACTTCTCTAGCCCTACACTAGGCAACCTTTTGTCAGTTTTATTGCTAAAGGAATCCTCAAAATTCTCTTTTTATCCATAGTATTGAAATGAGTCGGCAGAACCGTTCTCTTCCAAGTTATTGTTTCGGTATAGATTAGTTTGATAGATACCTTAGCTTGCATTCTTAAAGTTATTATAGGGCATTCAACACTAAAAGTGTTAGAATCCGGTACCTATTTCTCCCACCAGTTTGTGACACCTTATCTAGTACCAATTCGTCACCGGATTCCAACCTTATTAGTTATTAGCTTCCTTTGTGGCCATCCAGCTTCTTCATAGGTAACTTGGGTTATTCTGATGAGGTAGGGTTTGGGCTTAAGGGTTAGTAGGTTAATGGGTTAATTAGTATTAGTAAGGTAGGTAGTTAGTAGGGTGTTGCATGGGCCGAGTAGTAAGTAGGATAGGAGTCTTCTGTTCATCAATTGTATCAGTAGTAAGTAGGATAAGAGTCTTTTGTTCATCAACTGGTATCAGAGTAGTAAGTAGGATAGGAGTCTTCTGTTCATCAATTGTATCAGTAATAAGTAGGATAGGAGTCTTTTGTTCATCAACTGGTATCAGAGTAGTAAGTAGGATAGGAGTCTTCTGTTCATCAATTGTATCAGTAGTAAGTAGGATAGGAGTCTTTTGTTCATCAATTGGTATCAGAGCAACACCCTACTAACTACCTAACTTGCTAATACTAATTAACCCATTAACCTACTAACCTACTAACCCTTAAGCCCAAACCCTACCTCATCATATTCCCTCCTCTTCTATTGTTAGAATATCCAAACTCATATTGTACTTTGCTTTAAACACTCACGCCACTATGGAGTCTGGTTAGTGGTTACTGCTTAAGATTCCGGACTTGTTTTCAGGTTAAAATTCCTCCTTGGTAAACACAATTTCTCCCAGTTAATCCAATGGATTCTCCTTCTTCCCTCTTTTACCCGACCAAAACCCAGATAAAAATGAATCTCCAATGGAATCAGGAAAATGGCCATGGCATATGTAGATTGAGCTTGAGCAATGAATCTGATAAGGCTTGATTTTGCTGTTCTTCCACATCGTAACTTTCTTTCTCACTTTGTAAACCAGATTGCCAAAATTGCCTTTTTTGTTCTTCCTATTTTGGTAGGAAGTCCTATGATTTCTATTTTCTAGTCAAGGTTGTCAACCCGTGGGTGGACCCCCAGGTCGGCCCACTTTGACCCTGGTCCGGTGAGAAAAACGGGCCGCACGCACCCGTCGGGTCGACCGCTATAAGGTACCGGGTTGGAGGCCAAATTGTGTCATTTTTTCTTTGGTTTGCGAAATGCGCCTAATTTCTGTTTTTTCTTTTCTCCTAACTCCATCTTTGGAATCTTAAGTTGAACATTTGAATATATATGTTATATAAGTGTGTGTGAATTTTCACTCTATGTTGGATCTAAGTACGATATGTTATTTTGGTGGAATATTATATGTTATAACTCGTATGTTAGATGAGATTTTATATGATTTATCAGGATAAGTACAATATAATGATTCTTTCTATATTTTTGGGCTAAACCGAGCTAAAATGGGTGACCCATTAACCCTTGACCCACTAGCTCCACCAGGTCCGGGCAGTGGCGGACCCATAAATTTTCCATAGGGGTGTCCTCTTTTAAAAATAAAATTAATAAAAATAATTAATAATTAATAATTAATAAAAATAAAATCGTAAATTTGAAAATACCTTACTCGTACAGGTTAAAAAAGTCCATGATTTGTTTTCATATTCGGAAATAATTGTAGAATACACTTGGTGTCTATAGTGTTAAAAAAAATTGTCTCTATATACCCTACTAGACAATCATTCACGAACTTATTGCATATTCGATTTATAAACTTGTTCTTGATGTAACCCAAAGCTGAAAGACTCTTTCAACACTTGTCGTATTAAGGGTAGCTTGAAATTAGTTTAATTGTTAGGTTTTTAAAATAATTAGAGATAGGAAATGACATTTTACTATTACATTTTTCAAAATCGAACAACAAATGAGTTGTAGGTCAACAAAATTAAGTTTATTAATAAGAATAGTGTTATAGATTTGAATTATCCAATCTACCACTTATATTCCTATACACAAATGGCAGTAGGATAATAATATTTTCAAATTTCAGGGTTGTCTCTCACTATCAATTATATTTTTTTTGTCCATATGTAAATTACCACCAGGGATTGGAAAATTGTATTCCCAAAATTTAGGGGTGTCCGGAGACACCCCTAAAATCCCTTGGGTCCGGGTCAATCCACGGGTTGACAACCTTACTAGTGATATAGCACCTTTTTCATATAGAAGCAGGTTTGCAAGTTCATCTCTCGACTTGTTTCCACACTAGCACTGTAGGACAATTCAAATTTTACGAGGCTTACTTGCTGACCCGATTCAACTCCGTAGATTTCCAAAATTTTCTTTAGCACCCACCCTTAATCTCTACCAGATTCAACAAAAGAATATGTTTTCACCTCCAAAGAGGAGGTGAAAGATTTTTGGTCCTCCACGAAACCCTTCTGCCCTGTCTTCTGAAAGATCAAGACTTATTACCCTTCAATTATTCACAAAATAATGTTCTTCTGTTCCACCCTGTCAATTGGAGAAAGGATTAGTGAAGGGACCCATTATCGGTTTGGTTTTTGTACATTCTTTCGTTGTATTGTTGGATAAGGAATTTGGAAGAAAAAACTAAACCCAGACAGATAAATAAATTAAAAAATTGGAAATAAAAATCCAGAAAACAAAAGTTGTGGTTGCCAATTGTCTATCAAGTATTTTCGTCCCCACACCCACCCATGTAACCAATCCAATTCACTCACTCTCTCTCTCTCTCTCTCTCTCTCTCTCTGTCTCTTCCCCCAAATGGAAGGAACAACCTTTTCTACCAAAAAGAAATACAGAGAGAAAGAAAGAATTCAACAAAAACAGCAAAAATAGAAGTCTGAACTGAATTTTCTTCTTGGTGAGTAAGCATGATGTGATCATTAGGGCACTAAACAGGAGCCATATTATAACGATTAAACTATTATTAAATGAAAAGAAGACAGATTCAGGATGAAACGCATGAATTAATTTTAATTAATCATGTGAGAAATGAAAAAAGAAAATGCAAAGAAACAAAACTGGGAAGAAGATAAGGAGGCAAAGATCCAATACCCACCCACCCCACCCTCCCTTTTCTTCCCTTCTTCCTTCACCATCCACAGCATTGTTCATTGACTATCCATTTAGATTAGAGATTCCCATATGCAGACCTTGTTTGTTTGCCTTCTCCCACCCTTTTCCTTTCTGTAAGATTTATGGGTTGTTGTGGGTTTCCCTGGGTTAGGCTTTAGCTTGAGTGATATGCACACTCTTGTATTAATGGCGTAACCAGAAACTCCCATAAAACCAAAAAGGTCGAGACTTGAAATAGCCCAAAAACAGCAAGGTTACAGTCAGCAATTAATTGCTTGGCAGGGTGGTAGAGAGTCACAATTAGACAGGGCATGGCAGTTTCATATTATTAGTAGGAGCAATAGAATAATCCTATAAGCGAATAGGAATATAGAGAAGTAACTGATGCGAAAAACAAAAGGAGCAAAAGCGGAAAGGGGGTTAGGAGAGAGAGAAATTTGAGCTGTTGTTGTAGTTGTAGGAAGGAGGAGGGCAATCGGAGAGCTGGTGCAGATAGAGAGAGGAAGGGGATGTCTGGTAGCGGCGGCAGTGGCGGCGGCGGGAGGTGCAGTTGTGTAGTATGGCTGAGGAGAGATCTGAGGATAGAAGATAACCCGGCGTTGGCGGCTGGGGTTAGAGCAGGGACGGTGGTGCCGTTGTTCATATGGGCGCCGGAAGAGGAAGGCCATTACTACCCTGGAAGGGTTTCCCGGTGGTGGCTGAAGCAAAGCCTCGCCCATCTCGATTCATCCCTACGCAATCTCGGCGCTCCTTTGCTGACCAAGAGATCGACTGATTCCCTCTCTACTCTCCTTCAGGTCGTCCAATCCACCGGCGCAACTCACCTCTTCTTCAACCACTTATATGGTTCCTTCCTCTTCTCCCTTTCCCTTTCAATTCTTGGGTTTCCAATTTGATGCCGTTTGGGTTTTTTAATCTTTCTTGTTAATTGGGTTTGTCGTGGGATTGCTGCTGTCTGTTAAATTAGTATTTGACTTCGTCGCGAAAGAAATAATATTCAATCTTCATTGTAATTATTGTATGCTTTTCCTCCTGGATTTCTGTTGATCTTTTGTGGGTTTTCATTTTCGGAAACTGGGTTTGGCTGCTGTCATCGTTTTGTTAATTTATCGAAGATAAAGTTGAAATCTTTTGGTTTTGTTAGCTTGGTCAATTTTCTGAGTTTCAAGTTTCTGTTTGGATGGGGGGATTTGCGGAGTTCACTGGGTTGTTGCGATTTTGATTACTGGTTCTTCTTTCAGATCCTTTGTCGCTGGTTAGGGATCACAGAGCGAAGGAAGTTTTGACAGCTAGTGGAATAGTTGTGAGATCCTTCAATGCAGACCTTCTCTATGAACCATGGGATGTCACTGATGCTCAAGGCCTTCCTTTCTCCACCTTTGATTCCTTCTGGGAGAGATGCCTTACCATGCCTTACGATCCTGAAGCTCCGTTACTCCCACCTAAGAGGATTATACCAGGTCTTAGTTGTTTCCCCAGTTACTTTCTATATCATAATTGACTCTTGCCACTTCTCAATATTACTGCTAATGCTTTTGCAGGTGATGTCTCGAGATGTCCTTCCGATTTGTTAGTATTTGAAGACGAATCGGAGAAGGCGAGCAATGCACTCCTCGCTCGAGCATGGTCACCTGGATGGAGCAATGCTGACAAAGCCTTGACCACATTTATCAATGGGCCGTTGCTCGAGTACTCTAAGAATCGTAGGAAGGCTGACAGCGCCACGACCTCGTTTCTCTCTCCTCACTTGCATTTTGGGGAAGTTAGTGTGAGAAAGGTTTTTCATCTCGTTAGGATGAAGCAGGTTCTGTGGGCAAATGAAGGAAACCAAGCTGGGGAAGATAGCGTGAATCTGTTTCTCAAGTCGATTGGTCTTAGGGAATACTCGAGGTACATGAGTTTCAATCATCCGTACAGTCACGAGAGGCCTCTCCTAGGGCACCTCAAGTTCTTTCCATGGGTTGTGGATGAGGGATATTTCAAGGCATGGAGACAAGGAAGGACTGGGTATCCGTTAGTCGATGCTGGAATGAGGGAATTGTGGGCCACGGGATGGATGCATGACCGGATAAGAGTGGTAGTTTCAAGTTTCTTTGTTAAAGTTCTTCAACTCCCATGGAGATGGGGGATGAAGTATTTCTGGGATACACTCTTGGATGCTGATTTGGAGAGCGACGCACTTGGTTGGCAATATATTTCTGGAACGCTCCCTGATGGACGTGAATTTGATCGCATCGATAACCCTCAGGTACTTTCTCACATAGCTTGTTCATTTTGTTATGCAGATATATGACCAGAGCTCTAGTGATAATATCATATTTGTCTATCCATTTTCCTTGGTTTCCTTTATGGTCCGGTACAATTGTACATCGATGTCTCTTGATTACATCATATGTTATGGTTTGGTTGCTATTATGTGAGATGTATTGCAAAAGCATGGTTTACTCCCATATATTTGTTGGGGGAAACTATGTTAGAAAATGAAAACGAAAAACGTTTGGGATCCACTTTCTACAGCTCATTTCAAATACTTTGTACTATTTGAGATCTGTGTGTACAAACTTCAAATGCACTCAATTTCAAATATATCAGAAGTTTCAAATTACAATTGATACATTCATTCAATTGTATGCCACCGCAAAATTCACCGTCCGGAAAACGACTTTGGTAGAGTTTCAAAGAGCATCTGTAGGTAACTTCAAATTTGTTTAACACACTTTCTACCCGTTTTTTATCTTCTTCTGCAGTTTCAGGGTTACAAATTCGACCCTAATGGTGAATATGTCCGTCGCTGGCTTCCTGAACTAGCCAGGCTGCCAACCGAATGGATCCATCACCCATGGAATGCACCCGAATCAGTCCTCCAAGCAGCTGGCATCGAATTGGCATCCAACTATCCTCGCCCCATTGTAGGAATAGACGCAGCAAAAGTCAGGTTGGAAGAAGCACTCTCAGAGATGTGGCAACTCGAGGCTGCTTCGAGAGCTGCAATCGAGAATGGCACTGAAGAAGGTCTGGGAGAATCCTCTTATGACTTGGAACCAATTGCATTCCCTCAGGACATACAAATGGAGGAGGAAGAACAACAGCAGCATCATGAACAACCTATCAGAAACAACAATCCTTTGGCAGCTGTTCGCCGTTATGAAGATCAGATGGTGCCGAGCATGACGACTTCTATCCTGAGAGGGGTGGATGATGAGGAAGCATCTGCAGATGCCCAAAATGCTGCAGAAGATAGCAGAGCTGAAGTTCCAAGAAATTTAAATCAAGAACTGAGAGGAGATGCTTCAAACGAAGAGGTTATGCAGACTGTTCACAGGGTTAACCCTTTGCCTCAAGTTAACTTGCTTAGGGTTGGGGGAAATGTTGCAGAAGACTCGGCATCAGAATCTTCTTCGAGCACTAGGAGGGAGAGAGACGGGGGCGTGGTTCCAGTTTGGTCTCCTCCTCCAACTGCAAGTTACTCGGATCAGTTTGTTGGTGATGAAAATGGAATCAGTTCGAGTTCTTCTTACTTGCAGAGGCATCCTCAATCTCACCAGATACTCAACTGGAGGCGGCTGCCCCAGACTGGGTAGTAGGTGTCTTTTGAGTCCATGCCAGGTAAGGTATCAGCTCATTATTGAGTTCATCCTTAAGGGGTCGTTTGCTTGTTGGATGGTTTCTTAACCGAAAAAAAAGTATTTGTGTTGCACATGAGCAACATAGCCTGTTTTTACACTTCCATGTGACGAATCTAATTAGTTTTGGCTTTGTATCGCCAACTTTTTTTCTCTTTTATCCTTTAAAAACTAAGAACATATTCCATGACTTCTCTTTCATCTTTGTTCTTCAACTTTAGATCACAACTTTCCCTTTGTTTTGCATTTCTGATTCTGCTTTCTGCTGGCAGGTAAGGTACACACACATACTGGTGTAGAGGCAGACTGATTGAAGAACATGGCAACGATGCTTTAATACCCGTGAACCCAGTGTGTTGTTGACATCAAAGAGTCCCAAGTAAACCGCCCTTTTTTCCACGATACACAGTAAGCTGATCACTGCAGTGATGACCTCGAATGTGGATACTACTACGACTACTACTATCATACGAATCAGGCAGGCTATATTGCTATCGTTCCACTCCTACTTATTTGTGCCATGTATGTAATTTGTATGCTGTATAGTTTTTTCATACTTTTTCTTTTTCTTTTTTTGGGTTCGTGTTGTAAGGAATGATAAGATTTGGCAGGGTTTGTAGCTGGATAATAAATTACAGTTTGTGCTCCGACATTGAAATTTATTTGGCTCAGAATAGGCAGATGGTTCAGCATTTGTATTATTTGTTTACAGTGCTTGTCAATTGAATGCTGCCCAACTGCCAGAGGACAATGATCATGCCGTGTTCCCTCCCTTCCTATTGACATATTGTTGCTGTCAACGGCAAATGACAGAACTTCATTCCTTTTCATTTCAACTCCTGCCTGTAACTCTGCAAGCATACATGTCCATGTTTCCTTCTGGTCCTTCTCCTTGTGCTTGTCTCATCTCTTACATTGAAGGAGGAAGTAGACTAGACTTCATAGCTCGCAACCAACTCTCCCCAATGTTCATATTCACCTAATCATTGATATTCGACATCCACTAATTTCATCAGTCATTAGAGATTGGCCTCGACTCAAACCTGGGAAAAAATCACAGAATACTCTAATTATTAAAAAAAATCTCTAGATACAGTACTTATAAACTTATTTCCCAAAACACAGCAGTTTCAACATCATTGTTGTAGACAAAGACAGTGATTACAATCACCATTTTGGGCCAAAACGGTGATAGCATCACCGCTTTAAACTAAAACAGTGATGCTATCACCGTTTTGGACAAAAACGGTGATGCAATCCCCGCGCTTGTAAAATGCGGTGATTGTGTGACCGTTGATAAGGGAAACGGTGAAGCCACAATCACCGTTGATGGGTAAAACGGTGAAGTGGTCGCGCGCGGGCACTTCACCGCTGAAGAGAAAAGCGGTGATAGCCCCACCCCATCACGTCACCGATCCGCGTCGTCCGCGCCCTTCACCGCTGTCGTTCGATGCAGTGAGGCGCGGATTGTGGTTTTTCTCCACGATCCGACGCCTCACAGGTCGCCACGTCAGCAATCCAGGCCATCATTGCCTTCCTCCAATGCGGTGAAATCACTGCTTTCGAAGAAAGCGGTGATTGGTTGAGGCAAATTTCCAGCGCCCCATTCCCCCTATAAATACCACTCCCCCCTCTCATTCCAAACCACACCACCATTTTATACTTCTTTCTCCCTCCATTACTTCACTCTAATTTCGTTCTAAGTATGCTATGTGGTTGCAGCTAAGTCCGATCTTCCGCATCATAAAGAATTACTAGAGTTTTTGTTTTGTCGATACTCTCGCTAGCTTTTCGACAAAAAATGGACGAAGAGGTTTTGAGAGTACGTAAATTTATTTTATTCTTTTGTGATTTTTTTTTACATGGGTGCTAAAATATAAATTTATTTGATTTCATATTTTTTATAGATGGGTGCTGAGATATACGACCCTCGATTGTATATCGATCCTGGCCCAAGGGATCGAAGGTATTTAACCGGGCAAGATCAACATCGCTCCCGTGCAATTTGGAACAATAATCCGGTAGACACACTAAAATTATTTCAATAGTTTTAAAGTTTTTATTTTGCTTTCTATTGACTGACAACATTGTGTTTTTTGTTTTGTAGGAATCACTTATTCCCATCAGTCATCGAGGGACATGTCGATTGCCCCGTTGGCATGCTCGACTGGAGCCCTATCTAGAGAGGACGGGATTGCACATGCAGAGGCACTTTATGAGGCTTGATATTGACAACGATCTGCTGACGGCAATGGCAGCGATGGCGCCCCGAGCTGCATACCTTCCACTTTCCCGAGGGTGAAATGACGATCACCCTCAAAGATGTTGCCATCCTCACCGGGCTCCCGATCACTGGAGATGCCATCATCGACAACTCGAGAAAACCGGAAGATGGTTGGGGGCCATTGATTCAACAACGTTTGGGGTTCAACATGCCGACCACCACGCCCGTCGAAGGGGCTGGGCATCCACCACTGAATGCGGGTCAAGTATCGATCCCGTGGCTTGTTGACCACATCCAGTTGGAGGTTAATATAGGCCCGGACACTCCTGAAGATCAGGTGGAGCGGTATGCACGTGTCTACCTAATTGGCTTGGTTGGTGGGTTTCTGTTCCTCGACAAGTCAAACCAGTGGATACAATGGTTACCTATGCTCCTCGGTGACTGGGACGAGATCGGGAAAAAAAGTTGGGGGTCGGCCATCTTGGCTGGGATCTACCGAGAGTTGTCTACTTGCTCGAGGTTGGGAGCGAAACAAGCTGGTGGTGCGATGTTCATACTCCAGCTCTGGGCATGGGAGCATCTTTCGTTTTTCGCACCTCGAGACCCTCGGGAATTCTGGTTGCCAGATGATGAGCTACGATTTGTAGCAAATCCCCCATATGGTTTCAAGTAAGTTCAATTTAAGTTGAATTTATTTTAGAATGCAATGGTAGTATTTTAGTGAATTTAGATCTATTCAAAGTAAGCGAATTTAGTGACATTTTAAGTATGCAATTATAGTATTTTAATGAACTTAGATATCTTCCAAGTAAGCGAATTTAGTGACACTTTAAGTATGCAATTATAGTATTTTAGTGAATTTAGATATCTTCCAAGTAAGCGAATTTAGATTTATTCTAACCAAATCGTATTTAGCTAATTTAGATTATTGCCAAGTAAGGAATTTTAGTTCAATTTAGATGCTTCCATACAATATACTTAACAAGTAAACATCTATGCTTTAAAAATTGCTTATATACGTACTTTTGCTTAATTAGGTGGATCGGAGCAAATACAAACGACCACCAGCCCGAGCACTCTTTACTGTTTTATCGTGCTGAATTTGATAAGCCTTGGTGGAACCAGGTAAAAATATAAAATTTCATCATTTTCAATTTTTTAGGTGGAGTGGATATAATTTGTAATAATTCCATGAACTATAATGATTGTAGGCGGTATGGGATCCATATCCAAATGAAGTGGTTGAGTTGCATCGTCTTAGACATCTCGAGGATCAAGAGACATGGTTGTGCAAGGTGCCCTTAATCTGCTGGCACATGGTGGAATGGCACCTGCCCAATCGATCTTTGAGACAATATCGATTGGAGCAACCAATTCCAGCATCCCCACCTCAAGGGTTCAGGGAGCTCCACGCCATTGACCTACGCTACACCAGTTTTAACAAATTCACAATTGGCCCAATGTAACACCCCGGTATTTTAGATTTGGGTTCGACCATATTAAATGAGCGGTTAGTTTAACAGTTACGTACTAAGAGTTACAACCGCGGATTAAGAATAATAATAATAACTATTATTATTATTATATTATAAAAAATAAAATAAAAATCACACGTGAATATCAAATGGGAGGAGGTAGGGGTGAACAAACACACCCGCAAACCGACCCATCCGTCCAACCCGACCCAACTCACCCGTATTTATCGCTAAAATGAAAGTTTTGGGTTGGGTGAGGGTTTTCTTTTGTACAACCCGCTTCCTTTGGGCTGGGTTTGGATTTTGGATTACACAATCCGTAGAACCCGACCCAACCCGTGTTCCAACTATTAGTATGAGTTCGGATCTAAAAAATATTTATGTCATATATAGTCATATACTTATGAGAAAATTAAGATATTTCGGCATGTTTTTCTCTCATGGTCTCCCTAATCTAATGCATTCTTCGACTTAAAGTTTAGACATAAATTGAATATAGTTATGATTCACGTAATCCTTTTTCTTGTGTACAATTTTAATAGAATAACATATTATGGGTGCGTTTGTTTATAACATTTTTAGCCAATTTCAACAAATATTGTGAAAAAAACAAGACATATGTTGAAGTAGATCACATTTTATTAAAATTCAAACAACATTTGTGAATTTTGATACCTTTCACTTTGGTTCATTCGTTTGAAATTTTAATTAGTTATAAAATATTTTTATGATATAGAATAATTATATATTTTATGTTGGGTTGGGTTTTTACTTAAAAATATCGCCAACCCGACCCAACCCAATTAGAAACAAACCATAGGGTTTAATTTTTTTTGGGTGGGTTTGAGTTTGATATTTCCCAAACCGTAGTGCATGGGTCGGGTGATTAAAATGACTAAACCCGAACCACCCAACCCATGTACACCCCCTAGGAGGAGGCGCTCCCCCAGCAGCAAACCTTCCCCAATTTAACTGTCCCCGCCGCCCAATTCTTTTTGTTTGCCAGCCGAGCGAGAGGAAGAAAGAAAAGAGGGACTGCAGCCCTGTTCCCGACCCCGATCCCATCCCTTCGTATTATTAGGTAAGGATCACGAACCCATTCGTGATTTCTAAACTCGATCCATCGATAGTCTAATACGAAACTCGTATTTTATTAGCGGTGACGTTTGAGGGTTCGATCAACGAGGAGATCCACGTCCCGGGCCATCCAATCTAGTCCTAGGCACGTTCTAGAGGTAAGGGAACTCGATCCCTTTGAGTTATATCGATCGATTTGGTGATTTTTCGTGAGGGTACAATTCTGGGTTTTTAGCAAAAGACATTACAGGCTTTTAGTGACAGATTTTGGGTGGTCACTAAAGCTGCTAGGAATTTGCAGAAACTTATTTTTGGATGTTTTAAATGGTTTTGAGCTTCTGTAGGTGTTTGTTCCTAGGTTTAACAATTTTATAAACCGAGGGAGGTCTAGGAGATGGTTGTAATTTAATTTGGGGATTTTTGAAGATGTATTTCTATATTTAGAAAATTTTCAAATAATTATTTTAATTAAATAAAAATCTTACCGAGGGGATTTTAAGGGTTTAATAATTTTACAGGGTATAGGTTCTCATGATTGACATACAAAAATTATTATCCAAATTTTTAAGAAGGTTCAAATTAGGTGAAAAATTCGTCCAAGATAAAAATAATTAAGAAAAATGGTCGGTTTTGAATGGATTATTTCTAGAAAATTTTTAATGGGGGTTAAGGGACCTTTGGAATGAGGCTTGAGGACTGGAGTTTGAGGAGCGGATGTTCTAGTGATTCAAAAGGGATTTTAATTCAAGAAATGTCGTCTAAGAAAATTGATTCTTATTAATAGGTTTCCCCAAGATAATCCGGCTAAGGAGGGGTTTCGTCGAAGAAAGAATCGAGGAGTCATATTTTCGAGGTGAGTGTAAAGGGGGTAAAATTTCTGTCGTAGGTTTTTTAGTTTATGCTTTTCGTTCAAGCTATTAATTAGTTAATTTATGAGTTTGCGTGATATGTGTGTGAGGCATCCCACCGCCTGTAAGGGTGGAGGCACGCGTTGTGCTATGTATGAATGTATGGATGTATGATTGTAATAGTTGGTTGATGGTAAGATGAACCCCCAGGCGGTTGGGTCACTACTGGACGGTAACGCAGTAGTTGACGGGCATGGACTGGACGACAAGACGTATCGCAGTGCCATTGCCGAGTTTGGGTATGCAACCGGACGGCGAGACGTAACGCGGTTGGCATACTAGGGTAGGACACCGAACGACGAGACGTAACGCGGTGGTCCTAGTGTTTTGTGTTTGAGTTAAGGATAGAAGTCGAGCACTTCTATGAGTTAATGTTAAAATGAGTTGATAAGGATGATTATTTAAGAGCAGAAAGCGAGAACGGCTTTCATGCTTGAAAGCAAACTCTAAAAATGTGTTTAGTAGGGAGTTTCTTAGGGCGAAGACCTTAGGAAGTAACGACGAGACTGACCCCTTCTCACTCACCAGATGCAGATAGGGGAAGAGGACGCATCCATCAAAAGGAGGTTACCCGAGGAGAACAGCCGCGACAAACCTGAAGATGTCAACTGGATCTGGGTAATGAGATGGGACCTCCCATTATATATGTCTTTAGTTTCATGTCTTAATGAGTATAATGGGGAACTCAAGGATTGTGTTTTATGTTTTGTTGCTCTGGATTGAGGTCGCCCAAGTGTTTAAAGCATTTCACTTGAGAATCTTAAACATTATTGTTGTTGATTTTTGGTTTTGATTTGTAAACCTGTTTTGGGTTGCTCCAAAGTAACCGGTTTGTGGTTTGAGATATGGTTTGGTTTTCAAAAAGGATCGGGTCGTTTCACCCAACCTGTCAATTACAAAAGCGGATAAAACTCGCTCTCGATACAAAACTCGTGAACAATGGGTTAGAGTTCAATAGCCATTCTCAACGAAAAGGAAAATGAGAAAAAAATTAAAGCATACGAAACTCGCTCTCGATCTAAAATTGGTCAACAACGTGTTCAACTCGCTTTGACCAAGTTTTAAACAAATTCACACTCGATCCAACCTGTCAACTACAATAGCGCATTAAACTCGCTCACAATACAAAACTCGTCAATACCTTAGATTCGGGTTCAATTGTCTTTCCAACAAAAAGAAAAAGAGAAATTTATAAATGTTGAAGTCGGTTTCAAGTCACTTTGACCAGATCAAATTAGGTTGAATACTCATGGATTTGGGTTCAATTGTGATAATGCTCAACAAAAAGTAAAAATAGACAGAAAAAAAACACTAAAGCTGATGAAACTCGGTCCTTATACAAAACTCGCCAACATAAAACCTAGCTGATATAGATTTTCGGTAGCGACATTGAGAAACAGTGGAAGGGGACAACTTAGGATTCCATTGACAGTGTTTTGAGAATGTTGTGAATTGGTGAGCGATGGTGAGGATTGAACAGAGCATATCTAGTATGGATCTTTGATCGCGGTCGTGGTAAACGGTGGAAGAGTACAACTCAAGATTCCACCGAAAATGTTTTGAGCTGGGCTGCGAAATGGTGGTAAAAGACGATGATTTGGGTTCAACTTAGGATGCCCATATGTTTGGGTTCAATTTTGATCATGCTCAACCAAAAGAAAAAAGAGAAAAAACACTAAAGAGGATGAAACTCGATCCCGATACAAAACTCGCAAACATAGAGCCTATCTGGTATGGATTTTCGGTAGCGACATTGGGAAACGATGGAGGGGGACAACTTAGGATTCCACTGTCAGTGTTTTGAGAAGGTTGTGAATTGGTGAGCGATGTTAAGGATTGGACATAACATATCTAGTATGGATCTTTGGTCACGGCGTTTGGCGGCCGTGGCAAATGCTGAAAGAGGACAACTCAAGATTCTACCAACAGTGTTTCGAGCTGGGTTGCGAAATGGTGGAAAAAGGCGACGATTTGGGTTCAACTTAGGATACCCATGTGTTTGAGTTCAATTGTGATCATGCTCAACAAAAAAGGAAAAAGAGACAGAAAAAAACACTTAGGAGGATGAAACTCAGTCCCGATACAAAACTCGTGGTAGCGGTCTTGGGAAACGGTGGAGGGGAACCAGTGGCGGAGTCAGCCCTTAGGTGGGTAGGTCCCGGGACCCACCTTGGATCTCCTTTGTTAGAGAACAACATTTCCTCCGCTGAGCCATGCAATGCTCTTAGCTGTTATCGTAATTTGGATGCTGCCTAACCTATTAAATATGAGTTACATAATAAAATATTTATTTTTGAGTTTTCAATTCCTAATTGAAATCATCGAAAAACATATAGATCACATGTCGAATGTTCCTCTCCAACCAAAGGCCGCCGAAAACTCTCACTCACCACCCTTCCGTCCAAGTCTTTGCTGTCGAATTCGTTGTATCAATTCAGAAAAATGGTTTTTTAAAAAATCAATAGTTTATATTGGTGTATCGACTTCTAAAATTGACATCATTGCTACCTTTTGTCACTGCAAGTGTTGAAACATCATTTTCTGCAATAAACTTCGTAAAGAACACACTTCGGAATTGGATGGGTGATGAAATCATAATAATTCTTTGGTTGGTTACATTAAGAGAGACATGTTTAATAGTCTGGATGATCAATGTATTTTACATATTTTTTTCACAATATGAAAACACGTTGTGTATCATTACAAAACATTAATATAAGGTATGAATAATTTTTTTTAGCATTGGACCCACCTTAGCAAAATTCCTGGCTACGCTACTGAGGGGAACAACTTAGGATTCCGCCGACAGTGTTTCGAGATAGGCTGTAAAATGATGGGCAAGGGCGATGATTTGTGCAAAAAGCCTAGACGAAAACCTAGTGCATAATAGTTGCAACAAAGAAACCATTGAATAATAGCTGAAAACCTAGTAGGGAAGAATTGTTATGGGAAACACAATGGAAAATAAATGTATATCTAGCGAACAATAGCTAAACACAAAGTTGTAAAATGGAGAGTGGGGTAAAAGAAACAACTTGGAACTTCCCCACTTGAAAGGATGAATGTAAGAGCCACTAATTAATAGTAATTTACAACCTAAGCTTTTATATATTAAAATTAATAATTAATATTAACTAGTCTTTTTATAGTCTCCCTTTGTATTTAGAACTCAATTGACAGAGTGTGTTGCCAATAAGTACTGGAGTTTTTTTTTATGATATATACCATACCGTTCATAATTTAAAAAAATCTTATTTGTATATAATACATGCTTGACCCGAATAAAGTTTTTCGAATACAAAGTTACTATCAGAAAATGCCAAACATAAACTTAACAACTCTACAATATGGGTCTGTCGACACTTGTGAGTACTAGGAGCAGCATAAGAGACATACAATACAAACATATCCCCGTCCCATTCATATCCATTCTTTTAAATACTACTATTATAATTTCCAATACAGAGTGGCACACATATATAAAACCAACCAGGATACAACAATCAAGCATGTAATAAAACAAAATTAAAAATGAAAGGACACAATCAAAGCACTTAATAAAACAAAATTAAAAATTAAAGCTTATACATGGACGATGACGATGATGCTTTATTAGTGGTACACATTAATTAATCATCATATATGGTTGAGATTTCATCCATCCTTCCTTTGTGCTTTGCTTCAACTCAGCTTTTTATCGAGAGTACTGTTTTTCACACACACTATGTATAATATGAAACGCGGTCCAGGGCCCTAATTTATCAACCTTGTGCAGTCATATCCTTGTCATCAGCAGAAGCAGCCGTTGGCTTGGGTACTCGAAGTCCGCTGTAGACCATGGCCGCGAACAATGCCCCGAGAACAGGCGCCAAGATGTAGAGCCACAGGTTCTTGTACACCCCCGCCGCCACTGCGGGGCCTATGCTCCTCGCAGGGTTCATCGACGCCCCAGTGATCGGCCTGCATCCAATCCAATCCAACCCGCCAATCAATCAAAGTCCCATCTCAAAGAAGGGGGGAAAAAGGTTATCGTTGTCCTGATCGAACAAGACAGAGAGTAAATCCAGAAGAATGTATATATATATATATACACATACCCAGCAACCAGAGCGTTCACCAGTAGCGTGGAGCCTATAGCGAAGCCGGCAAGCCCGGGGCTCTGATTATTCCATCGCCATGTAATGACACAAGAGATGAATCAATCAAAACATAGTTCGTATCGATCGAGATGTCAGTTTTAACTTGAACTAGCCACAATTCATCGAAAAATACAAGAGCTAATTATATGACACACATATTCAACACATTACCGCGCGGTGATCGGTTGTGTTGGCGCAGATGCTGAACATGAGGATGAAGGTGATGATGAACTCCCAGAGGAAAGCTTCGAGGTCGGTGGTGGCGGCAGCGTACTGCGTGGCTATCGGGATGATGTCGGGTTGCTTGTGGAACAGCACTTTCAGGGTCAGGCTCGCCAGCGTTGCTCCCAGTAGCTGACCCAGCACGTACATTGGCACCTGCAGCCAACCAGGCCCCACAATCCATTATGAAATCCCCCATATTTGGATAGGTTTTGCCACCGGGAACGGATTATCTGTCGTCGATTGGAAATTATAGGGTTTTTTGCTTGTTCAGTCAGCGAGAGTTGGGTTTCAGAAGCGAAAGCAGCCTGGCTTGGGAGAGCAAGGTGACCTCCGCTCCGACACGCGGTGTATGCATAGCCTTATACACGCATTTGGTGTACTGATTTGGGTCTGGTCTGTAACTTTTTTTTCTCCCCTAGGTTGGATTAGGTTAGACCGTTGGGAGAATGTGTTATATATATATATATATGGTTCAGGCTAGCGTACGCCCGTTTGAGTTTTGTTATTTAGATCATGAATTAACCGAAGTTTTGGGCATGATACTATACCCTAACCACTAATTGGATAAACCCCAGTCCCTAGTTTTCTAACCCAAATCATGAGATTCGTTTAATCTTAAAATGAAAATAAAAAATAATTTCGACGAATCAAAATCATTGATTTTCATTTCAAGATTAAATGAATATTATGCTTTTGGGTTAGTGAATTGCGGACTGGGGTTTACCCATTAGGGGTTAGGGTATAGTATCATGCCTCAATCTTTGTATTTTTTTATCTCCCCAAATACAATGAAAATTGCTGTCTTCTACGAGCTAACCCACATAAATTTAATGAATTACGTAAATCCGTGTATTTTTTTATTTTTTATTTTTTTACATTGTCAATTTCCCGATCTGTTAGAACATTATAATTAAGGAATTTTCTTAAGTTTTAATTAATTAATAGTTGCTTACTTCTTTCCAGCGGAAGCGTCGGATGGCGGCCAAGGCGACGGTGACGGCGGGGTTGAAATGAGCGCCGGAGATATGGCCCACCGCGTAAATGGCGGCCATGAGCACGAACCCCCACGCCATGGCCATCCCAACGGTCCCCAGCGGCTGCACTCTGTTGATGAGGGCAGAACCGCACCCGATGAACACCAGCATGTATGTCCCCACCACCTCAGCCAGAACCTGCATAAAATTCCAAAAATGTGTCACGCGCGTACGCACACGCATTCGTCTGAATATATAAATAGTGCAAGTTTGCTTAAGGAGGTCGTCACGGACCTTCTGGAAGTGAGTTGGGGAGTCGTCGACTGGGACGAACCATCCCCGTGGGATGCTGGCTTTGGCGTCGGAGATGAAGGAGGAAGGCGTCGTGGTGGCGGTGGTGGTCTTGGCGGCGGAGGTTATTGGGAGTTGGCGATCACGGCGGTGGTGGTGGTGCCTTGGTGGAGTCATGTCGTCAATGGAAATGCTCTCTTCACGACCACCACCAGCCATGGTTGTGTGTTATTCTAAGCTATCAAGCTAGAGATGACCAAAATATACAAAGAAAGCAGAGAGAGAGAGAGAAGGAATGTTAATGTACGTAGGATGAAGGAAGAGATCGGGGTTACTTTTATAAGGGCCGAATTCTTGCAATGGGATCGGCCGGCTGGCCCGCGTAAGCCATAGCTGCGACGACAATTCATTTTTATGGGTTATTTCGGTGCTCACTGGCTAAGCCTATATATCCTATATATGCTGGTTCTGGAGTGTTTTTTTTTTTTTTTTTTTTTTGAAAGGGTATGATGATATGGCTGGAGTTGATTCCTTCCAATTAGTAGAGAAGAGAGCAATATTGTAATTGTATGTCTGATTTGCGACATCATTAGCACGATGAAATAATAGGGCCGACCGCCCGGCCGGCTGGAATTCCGAGGCAAGTAGGAAAAAAGGATGATTAGGTGATATCGACGCACGAGTGGAGAAGAGAAATTACGGGCTTATTTGTTTTATTTTGTTTTTTTTTTCTTTCCTTTTATACAAGATACGGGGTTCTTTGCCTGCTCTGTTCTTCTTTCTTCCATTTGGAAATTTACAGAATGAGTCGTAAATCGTAATAGTATGACCAACTTGATCGATGAGTGTTTGTTTGTCCGCCACGTAATACTAAATATAACCTATTCATAACAAAAAAAAAAAATTACTATATATAACCTGATCAACTCTAAAGTTCGAAATTAGCGAGAATTTTTATATGTTTAACCGCACATGCATGCTTCAATGCATAACTCTTCCTATTATGTATAAATCAGATTTTATGTATGGTTGTAGTTGGGGGAAAAAGAGATGTGATTTTAGTTAACATCGAAGGCAACGAGGGGAATTAAGCCATCATAGACCGATGGAGACTAAAATTGAACAAAACCCCAACCCAAAGAGACTAAGAGGAGCAAGTAGACCAAGTTTAAACCCACATGGAGAAAGGAAGGCAAGTCATATATAGTCGCATAAAAGGTCATGTGGTCTACGAGACGAGCACTATCTTGGTTGATCATTGTCCGATCTTGTATTGTTGTTCTGAACGAACAATATAACAGTGATGCGAGGTCTCATTGTTCAAGTTGAGGATCATGGAAATGGGGACCCCCTCATTTCCCAAGGAGATAGTGACTACTAGCAGAGGAGCTAAATCTTGGAATCATGTCATCATCGTGCTAAGTTCTCCAAAATAGTAAATAATTAGACAATGCAATATACAATCACCCTACGCTTTCGTTCCAATTCATGGCAAGAACAATCTAAGTACATATGAACAAAGCATACCATCATAATCGTAATCATCAACTCGTACGATATGCATAAGTTTCGTGGCAAGAGTAAAGACATCTCCTCCTCAATGCATGAATACCAAAGCAAACATCAAACTCCATATGTAAAGGTACCATCTGCCCTATAATGCATATCTAACACAACCACGAGTTCGTAATAGCAAGTGTCTAGCATCCATTCACAAGGCATATAAATCCAAAGTGAGCCAAATCTCGCGAGCTAAGAATAATCTCTTGATACTACGAGCAAAAAAATCCAAGGGAAACTAATTGGGCTAATCAAAATATCAAACAATCTTTTTTATTGAAAGAAAGAGGAAATTATCGCAAAAATAAGATAAAACATGAGTTGCCTCCCATGAAGCGCTCTCTCTTTTATGTCTTTGAGCTAGGAAATGGTGGCGGCATCAACCGAATGTCCAAAAGGCATCCCATCCATCCGAATGTCGGTTGTCTTTAAAGAATTCATTTGAGAGGGTTACGAACTCGACCCTAAGTAGCAATATGTCTATGACATGTTGCTTTGCATTGTGGTAGGAGGGATCTTTCCATATTGCCATGAATTATTTGTTGAAGGTTGAATGATAGAAAGCATCATTTGTTCTGTTGATTTCATATTCAGTTGGTATCCATACTCCTAGTGTTGTTATGCATGTTGTTACCTCAATAGAAAGATCGACTAATGATTCTTTGCCTGGGGAATCCACGTTGTCGAAGAATATCCAATATGTGTCTATCTTGTTGAAGGAAAGCTTGTCAATGGGCATTAATAGGGTGAATCTCTAATTTAAAAGGAAGGAACAAAGAAAAGAAAGATCAATTGCAAAGCTGGAAGATTGTGTACAGGCTAATGATGGCTACATCAGAAACAAAATTAGAAAGATTTCAAATTCAAAAGAAGCCTTCCTCATTTGTGATTAACTGTCAATTTCAAGATGATATAAAAAGAAGCATCCCAACCGAAGGAGCACTCACTTTTCTGGGGATCAGGTCATACAGAAAGAGCAAAGAAAATTGCTAGTGTGACTGATAAGAAAAGAGACCTTAATTCGTGTTCAGGAGTGAATCTGTATTAGGGCGTGTGTGTTGGAAAACACGGTAGCTGGATAGGTGGGTTAGAAAGTAGTGACAGACACAAAAGTGATTAATCATCTAGGATTGGATTGGTTAATCTCATCGAGAGTGTAACTCGGATCGGAGCATCATCAAGACTATTATACGTAGTAGATTGTCGGGAATCACAACACCGTGATATTCCGACCGTGGAGTAGTCAGTATTGGGATCCTCATTCAACAATGGAAACCACGTAAAAAGTGCACGTGTCCTTTTATTTGTACACTTCAGTTCTGCATTTCTATTCTTACTCTCTTCTTGCGTGTTCCGTAGTTTTCGTTGTGCAAGGCATTGTTGATTCAAAGGGAAATAGAGAGGCAGTAGCTAGTGTGTTGGTAAAATGCACAGTTTCAATAGAATAAAGTAACTTGGTCTTCTAACAGAAATCTGCCACCTAAATAAAGGTGGTCCTCGTATAGAAGGAGTTGATTGGGCCTAAGTTGCAAAGCCCATCACGGAGTGGTTCTCTAAGAATAACACGTAAATCTCTGAACCCTTGATTTCTTCTCGATCAAATGCAGTAGTCTTTTCCCTTTTCACTTGTTCTTGGCAAAAGGCACGATTGGAGTTTGCAGGTACGAAATTGACGAAGAAAGACACCAAGAAAAGGTAGGCATCTCGCGCTCGACGCCAGTAACACGTGGTATCAGAGTCTCATTGCTGTAGAAAAGGGTTCCACAACCTTCGGCGAGATTCATGATGACGCTAGGCTCTGCTAGCAATGCCTCGATGTATCTCGCCGATGAATTTTCACAAAATCAATCGCAAATATTTGAAGGAGTTAATTACGGGAGTTGGAAGAATCATATGGACCTATTTGCGGGCTCAACTGACCTAAGCTCTGGGCTAGGGTTATCAAGCAGCCACACAAGGTTGTTGGGTATAAGATAGCAAAGGAAATTTTGGATAAACTCCAAGTCACTTACGAAGGTACCTCTCAAGTCAAAACTTCTTGGATCAATTCTTTACACCATCATTTTGACCTGTTCAAAATGGAAGAGGGAGAGACAATCAGACAGATGTATGAAAGGTTCGCCAATATTGTGAACAGCCTGGAAAATCTCGGAAAGTCATATGAAAGTGGGGATCTTGCGAGAAAGATTATGTGGAGTCTACTTGAAAAATGGACTCCTAAAGTAACAGCTATAGAAGTAGCAAAGGACTTGGAAAATTTAGCCATTGATGAGCTGATTGGATCGTTAGCCACACATGAAGACAAACTAAATAAATCGAGCTTGGAGAAAGAGGCTAGTGAGAAAGGAAAAAGAGGAGTAGCCTTTAAAGTAACAAGTTTGATGGAGGAACCAGCAGATCTTGAAGACATGGAAAATGAGGAACTGGCTCTGCTAAGCAAGCAGATTCTAAGCTACTCAGAATCCGAAAAGAGAAAAGACATGGAGGACTAGGAACTAAAGCCAAGGAAGTTGAGAGGAGTAATGAGATGTGCAAGATGATTCATGTCAAGGTATATTCAAAACGAAGGAACGCCTTCTGTCAGAATACAAAAGGAGTAAGCTCCACAGGTTGTTTCAAGTGTGGGAGAACGTGACAATATTAAAGCAGAATGCCCACAACTCAAACGTGAGCGAGCTATGGCACCAACCTAGAACTGCAGTGAAGACGAAGGAGAAGATGATGAAGAGGTAATTGTGCACAAGTCATATATGGCAATTGCAGATGAGCCAGAAGAAAGTCTTGCACCTACCCCCTCTTTGGTACAAGTAAGTCTGTCTAAACTTGAGAATATAGATGAACCAGAATACTACAACGATGATTATCTGTTAGTTGAAACAATAAGGGATATTGAACTAGAGTTTGGAAATGTCAAGGCAAATAATTTAAACTCAAGAAAGAAAATGGAAATGACCTAAATAAATAAGATAGTAGAACTTGAAAAACTATTAGTATAAAATAAATTACAAGAAAAGGAGTTCACAGAGTATATTAAGAAACTTAGAATGGAGAAAGAAAGTTGTGAAGTTGAATATACAAAGCTTAGAAAACACTTACAAGACCAAGTACATCTAAATGTCACAACTGTAAGTCTAGTATCAGTTTGAAGTTACGAAATGTCAAATGCTTTTACTACCATAAAATGGGACATCTAATTAAAAATTGTAGAAGAAGGGCTAGGTCTAATGCTAAAAAAGGCAGTTAATGCATACCCTCTCAATCTACCTAGAATCTTTAACAAAATGCATATGTTAGAGTTAGTCAATACAAAAGGACCCAAGAAATTCTAGGTTTTCCAAACAAAGTAAGTTGCATATAGAGTTATCTTCGAGTGAGAACGGAGGCAACCAAATGGATAATATACAGCGGGTGCTCACATCATATGACAGGTAACAAGTATCTCTTCTCTACCTTGAACCTAGATGACTTTGGAAAGGTTTATTTTGGAGATAACAACTCAGCTAACATTATAGGAAAATGTCAGGTAGGTACTAGTCCTTCTATAAAGAATGTAATGCTTGTTAATGGACTAAAACACAATCTTATGTCCATTAGCCAAATGTGTGGTAACGAGTGTCGTGTTATATTTGAACCAAACTGTTTCTATGTTGAAAATATTA